TCCTGGTTGCCGAGTTGAAAGTGGGTGACAAAATGCACTCGCTTTGCGCACACACAAACACACACAGACAGCCTCTCGACAATATGTGTTTTTGCTGGCTGTAGCAGCGCCATAGCGCTGCTATAGCGCTGCACAGCAAAAACGCATAAAAATGTATTCATGGTCCGAAACAATCCTGTTCATCTGATTATTTTTAATATATTTTTACGTTATTTTTATAGTTATATGCACCACTACCAATATTTTTATTAAAAGTGGTAATGCTAGAAACAAGATAGTGAAGGCCAACACCCTTCTGAGGTATCCTGAAACGGTTAAAGCCTTGCCAAGAGCTTCTGAGGGGAAATTGGCTGAGCTCGTAATTTCTCTTGAAGAGGCCAGAAGAATTTAAGGGCCACTAGCAGGCTGATCACCACGAAGAGTTCTGTAACTTATAGCGAGAAGTAAAAGTTAAGTATCCGATATACTTAGCTAATTCTGAGGCTTCTAATACTTCTGGTGGCTTTGTTTACCAAACTTTGTTTTTTTAAATGTTGATATGTAATGACTTTTGTCTGTTAAGTGTCTGGATTCAGGATTTCGTTGCTACGGTAGAACAAGCACAAGCTACTAGCACAGAGTTAATTCGTAGGGTAAGGAAGGTTAGAAAGGTATCAGTAGTAATTAAACAAGGAACTAGAGGCTGACTTTGGCTAGCCGAAGAAAGGCTAGCTTGAATCCAAAAATTACAATAAAAGAAGCCAATAGGCTTATGAGAATCAAATCAAAATGGCTCAATAAAAAATTTGATGTATTACATTGGGATGGCCGACTGATGAGGGTACATTGTGATATGATTCGGTCCTTTGTTCCTCAGATGCTGCACTCACTCATTCACTCACTCTGCCAGATGCCGCCTCTTACATAATAAATAGATTTTTTACGTTCCGCACATTGCGCTGCTCCATGGCTAAGGCATTTCGGGTTTTGCGGATTTGTGAAAACCGCATTACGGGCCTAAAAGCGCCTTCTTGCAAGCCTCATTCTTCGTCCCTTTTCCACAGTTTGCGTTCTTCCCAGTGCAATTTTTCTTTTATTCCTCTTCGAGGGAATAAAGGAGGGAAGAGGTACCCGTGAAAATTACGTGAGTTTTTTACGAGTATATATTCATTTGATATCAGATGCTCAGTCAATTTTTAGGCTTAAGCAAAATTCAAACAGGTTTTAGATACTAACTGGAAGAATGCAATCAGGGATCGAAGGGCTTGGCGTAACATTACCCTGCTTGTGGGAGCATTTTAGTAACATCACTAATATGGAATAACGATTGTCAGGGCGATTTTTTTCTCACAACGATTGTCAGGGCGATTTTTTTAATTAAATATATCTGTTATATGAATTGGTG